GGGTTCCCGTGCGGCTGAACAATGAGATCGTGTGGGACCACCCTCAGGTCACCTTCTCCCCCGTGAGTTCAGCTGGGCCTGAGAAGTGGGCCCAATCCTCCCTCCATAGCCCCACTCTTTCCTGAAATATCAGTTTTCTGCCCTGGACTTTGAACCTCTTCTGAGCTTCTCCTGGACTCTGACAGTGGACCTGGGACGCCCGTGTCCTTCTCTCCTCACTGACCGTGGCTCATTCCTCAGAACCTCTTGAGTGCCTGCGGTGTGGAGGAAAGATCACCTCCTTACTCTGACTTCCTGGCTAAGCTCAAGAAGACCCCTGTGCTGGTGAGAAGCAGCCTGATGCTAACTCGGGGCCATACAGACCCATTTCGGCCCCTCGGTGAACCCGATATGGCCTCCTGACTGAGAGGGCTGAGAGGAAGATGTTTCTGCACCCTTTCCCTCATCTCCCTCCCTCCCTCCCTTCCCCAGAACTGCTCCATTGCTTTCTGCCAGAGAATTAAGTGTGAGATCCCGTACTTCAGTGTGGAAGAAGAATTCTACGTCACTCTCCACGGCAACCTCTCATTCGACTGGTATATCGAAGTATGTGAGGTCTTGGGGCCTTGTGGGGCAGGCGCTGCTGCGCTACTCCAGGGCCCCCGGCCTGGCCACTACCCTGCCCTCTTCCACAGACATCGAGTAACCACCTCTTGGTGGTGAGCACAGCAGAGATCTTGTTTAACGACTCTACGTTTGCCTTGCTCCCGGGACAGGGGATGTTTGTGAGGTCCCAGGTAGCTGTCTCAGGCACAGAAGGCCTGCTGGAGGGTGGAGGAGAATCTGGGCTTGTGAGGATCATTGGAGCTGGGGAGGGGGAGGAGAGCAACAGCAGGGAGGAAGAAAGAGGGCTGGGTACTGGGGACACAGGGAAGGCAGAGGCTTTGGGGTCAGGGGCGCCCCGGCCCGACTGGCAAAAGCTCCAGAACCCTGGAGTCTGTCTCTTCTTATGTGTGTCTTTTCTCCACTTCCTCTCCCAGATAGAGAC